TTGCAGATGATGTGGTCCTGTTGGCGCCATCGTGCTGTGATCTTCAGCTCTCACTGGAGCGGTTTACAGCTGAGTGTGAAGCGACTGGGATGAGAATCAGCATCTCCAAATCTGAGGCCATGGTCCTGAACTGGAAAAGTGTGGATTGCTCTCTTCAGGTCGAGAGTGAGGTTCTGCCTCAAGTGGAGGAGTTCAAGTATCTCGGGGTTTTGTTCACGAGTGAGGGAAGAATGGAGCGTGAGATTGACAGACGGACTGGTGCAGCATCTGCAGTATTGCAGACTCTGTACCGGTCCGTTGTGGTGAAGAGGGCGCTGAGCTGTAAGGCAAAGCTCTCTATATACCGGTCAGTCTATGTTCCTACCCTCACCTATGTTCTTGAGCTCTGGGTAGTGACCAAAAGGACGAGACTGCAGATACAGGAGGTTGAAATGAGTTTCCTCTGCAGGGTAGCTGGACTCTCCCTTTATCTCCCAGTTGTTCAGCTTGAACAAATCACAACCAAGGTATAAAAAAAATCCCTCCCTGAAGTCTGGTCTTGGGCAGCAGTTTGAACAGTGAGGCCCAGGTGTCTCTTTCCACAGCCACCTCCTCCAGTTCTTAGAGATAGGGTGAGAAGTTCAGTTATCAGGAGAGACTCAGAGTAAAACCGCTGCTCCTCCACATCGAGAGGAGCCAGTTGAGGTGGTTCAGGCATCTGGTAAGGATGCTCCCTGGGCACCTCCTTAGGGAGGTGCTTTGGGCATGTCCAACTGGGAGGAGAACCCAGAGAAGACCCAGAACATGCTGGAGAGACTACCCGGTACGTCTCTCGGTTAGCCTGGGAATGCCTTGAGGTCCTCTCAGAAGTTAGAGAGGCCAGACTGAGATGGTTTGGACATGTCCAGAGGAGGGACAGTGGGTATATTGGTAGAAGGATGTTTAGAAATGCAGCTGCCAGGAAAAAGACAAAGAGGAGATATATGGATGCAGTTAGAGAGGACATGGAGGTAGTTGGAATGAGGACAGAGGATGCAGAGGACAGAGATGGAGGAGGATGACTCACTGTGGAGACTCCTGAAGAGGGAAAAGCCGAAAGAAGAAGAAGAAGAAGAAAGAAAGAAGTTTGTGGTGCTTTGCTAGAATTGTTGTGTCGTAGCAAGGTCACAGGTTCAACCCTCAGCTGGAACCTTTCTGTGTGGAGTTTACATGTTCTCCCAGTACATGTGTGGGTTTTCTCCAGATATTCCAGTTTTCCCCACCAGTTCAAAAACATTCTTTAGATTAACTGGGGGTTCTAAATTTATTTAGATTAGGTCTGTGTGTACCTATGGACTGTTCAGGGTGTAGCAGACATGCACCAAGCTTCCTGCGACCCTGAACAAGTGTGCACAGAGAATGAATGGGTGGATGCATTTTTTCAAAGGACCTGTAAGGTTTTTATTAGTTACACAGATATTGAGGTGTAAATGACACTAATGATACTGAAGGGTCAATACATTAATAAATAAATTTTAAAAATATATCATTGTAAGTAAAACTGCTGCAGAAATCACTTGCCTAAGTTTAAAGATTAATAAAATTGTAGTTAGGTGCTATTAGGTCCATCTAAGTGGTTAAGAGTATACAGTAGACTATATAAGAGTTGTGTTTTTAAATTGTATATGGTAATATATGTATATGGGATTTTTAACATTACTGTTGTGTTTTTTTATGGATTATGGAAAAACTTTTTTATTATTATTTGTTCTTAATTATTGTGATGTGATGTTTGTACGCTATTAGTTTCACCAGGGGATAGCAAGAAGTGTAATTTTGATTCTTTGTATGTCTGTACATGATGGAATTGACAATAAAGTAGACTTTGAAGTAAAGGTGCCTTGTTTGGACGCTGTGACTGACGTATAACATCAGTATCGTATATCAGAACTGAAGCTTCAGTATCTAACAGCATGCTGTGTGTTTGAACTACTAATAAACTAACATTAGGTCAACCTGAGGGGTTGTGAAAGTACAAATTTGATTCAGTTCAATTCAGTTTATTTGTATAGCGACGAGTCACAACAGAAGTCATCTTAGGGCACTGAACAGAAAATAGAGGGTTAACAACATGAAATTACTTTTAACATAATAAACCTCTTCTCTGATATTTGATCTTTAAATATTGGATCATTTTTTACTTAAATTAAAGCATTCACGTAGTTTGTAATTGATGGAGTTGTTTACACAAAGATTTGTGACCATTAACTCTTTTTCCATGATGATGCTTTACAACCACAAGGTGGCACTTTAGACCTACACTTACTGTTGATCCCAGAAAACATTAGGAGATTAAAAAAAGAAAGAGATATGGAAACACAATCATCATACTTTGGATAAAATATGTTATTAGATGTGTAAAATATGAAAATATATAATTTTTAACAACTGTTACACTACTGAAAAATGACAAAATCACGTATTATATTGTACAACTAAGATTCTTTAAACTGTGTCTTCTGCAGTAATCTTGACCTGGTTTGTTTCTATCTGCAGCAGCGAGGACACAAACCCAGAGGTCAGTGGACTGACTGCTTCTGGTCCACATGAGTCTGAGTCTCATGATGAAACACAATCTCACAGCAGGGTGACCTAATTCTTCAGGAGATCAAACTCAGGCTCCTTACTGTTGAAGAAAAAGTAGAAATGATGCTGAGGTCACCTTCAGTATCAAATCTAATGTTAAGCAGCTCTGCTTGGATCTAAATCCCACCTCAGCAGCACCGTTCGTTTGATTTAACAGGATTGCTACACTGTATTTGTTTAGTTCTTGTGTATCTGCATTCTTGCTAATGTCTAAAGATAAAAATGCAAAAAATAAAATAAGAAATGTGACAATTGTATATAAGATTTTTAAGCCGAATAATAAATTGTAGAAATAAAATGCAGGCTCCATTAAATGATGCTAACCAGTCAAAATATTTATACATCTCTATTCTGAAAAATCATAGTTAATTATGTGGAGCACATTTAGTAGTCATACTGTTCGTGGTTTCCATTTGTCTGAAAGGATCTCACAGTGTGGGTTTAGTATTTCTTGGATCCCTTGACATACAGAAACTTCAAACGTGTGTGTTCTTCTCTTGGTTACAACAGTGTGAATAAAAAAAGATACTTCTGATACTTTTTGAAGTGAGGTTCTGTGGAAAGATTTTAAATGATTAATATCTTACCTGCTGTTGATCACTGTTTGAATGACTTCAGTTCAGAATGATAACAGCTGGTTTGTTTGCAAACTACTCCAACCTCTAAAATGTTCATGCAAACACTACTTCACAGACCTTCACACAAACAACAGTTTTGCATCACGCAGTTATTTACGTGGAAATCGTAGTTTCCTGCACAAGCAAATAATGGTGGCGGCAGCTAGCAGTAGCACTTCCACTACAGCCTGGGGCACTTTCTGTAGGAATATCATAATATGTATGCTTAAATAACTATGCCATGCAAAACTAAAGGCACTGTAACGGTTTGAACAACAGCACTTTTAAGAATGGAAGCATGTTAGGATGGAGAAATCCACACTGAAAGTGGGTCTGTTCAGCCTGTCTCTAAAAGCTACAACTGTGCTTTCCCTTAAACCTGCGGTAACCATTCCTTCTATTAAACACTGAATAATGATATCAGAGCTTGTAGACACATACAAATGTCTTGGTATTTGGCTGGATAAAGATCTTAATTTAAACATCATATTACATATCTAATAAAAAAGCTAAAATTTACTCTAAGTTTTTTTGTATAGACTGAAATCATGTTTTTCTATTTCTTCCTGTAAGCGGCTTGTAACAGGTGTGTTTTTATCACAGCTGGATTACGGAGACCAAACCAATAGATTTGTCTCCCCCACTACCTTAGCTATACTGAAGCCCATTTACCATGTTGCAGGTTCACCCTTTAGGACTCACTGTTGTACTTTATATATCCTTACTGGATTCACTTCACTCAATATTCAAAGGATGAAGCTTTCATATAGAAAGCCATTTCAGGAAAATGACCATCATACATCTACTCCAAGTCATTTCACTCCAGAACACACAGTCTCAGGGTCAGTAGCTGGCTGTGGCTTAAGGTATCCTCTGTTTGCACAGAGTCAGCAAAGATGAGTTTGTTCTATTTCAACCCGTGGTCTTGGAATGATCTGCAGCTTAAGTTGAGGTTGAAATCCTTATTCCTTTATCTAGTTTGAAACAAAAACTGTCAGAGGTTTTAATCAAGTTTTGCGCCTGTAATGTTTAAATATCTTAAACTGTAATATTTTTTAAACTTGCATTGTATTTTATGTCTTATTACTGGACGTTTTGTTGTAAATATGTTAATACTACTGTTACTGTTCTTAAGACTGTTGCTGTATTTGTAATGGCTTCTTTGCACATTGCCCAGGACATCCTTGTAAAAGAGATTAATACTCTCAATAGATTTTTTTTTTCTGGAAAAATAAAGGTTTAAATAAAAAAGTGGGTTGTCTGAGAAGGTTTACACCACCATATATATTTTTATTTTTATTTTACTGTTATCTTGACAAAAATATTGTGATGTTCCTGCAGAAATAAATACTGTCTGCACTGGACATGTTACCTCTCACTGCTGCTTTTTGCTTCTGCAAATAACCATAGAATTAAATTTCCATGGAAATAAATTAATACTGTGCAATTGTCCGTGCTTTGAAAGTTTCTAAAGAATTGTTTACATGAATCAGTATAAAATATGTTATGAATGGCGGCGTTTAAACATGGTAGCCATCTTCTCTGGTCTCTATGCTGCTCAGACTAGCCATTAAGTCACTCGTCCAGTCAGAATAAAAATATTTCTTCAATCTGCAATCTACAACAGGTAAGATGCTAATTATTCAGAACCTTGAACTGTCCAGAATTGGTGTTAGGAGCAGGTCATTATTAGGCCTGCTTCACTGTTTGCCACATAGATTGCTCATCATGAATGAAGCTAGTGAAAATGAGTGTGTGTGTGGATGTGTGTGCGTGTACCTGTATGAGGTAGTGCGAGCAGAGGCTGAGGAGCTCCAGCAGCTGAAGGTGGCTGCCTGCAGACAGGACGTCCTGGATGACAGCTGGCTCCAGCAGAATCTGCAGATAATCACAGCCATCAGAATTTAAAATTCATTGTAGTGGAGCTATAAATCATTATGACCCTTAAAGTGTAAAGAACAGAGCAGCAAAAGCAAAGTCCAGGAATATTTTGTAGCTTTCTGTATAAAAAAAATATACACACAGTTCCTGTATAACTTGTAATAACCATGTTTACCACCAAATACAGCAGGCTTATTATTTTTGCCCACCACCAAAGAAACAAAGAGCAGTAAGGTTTGTTCCTATATCTGTGTGTCCTTATGTGTGTGTGTGTCCGTTTGTCTGTTTGAAACCACACTACAGATTTATTGAAAGTCTCTGAAAGTAATCTATGGATAGATTTAAATTAATGGAACCCATTCAATTTTGGGGTCAACCCAATTCAAGATGGCTACCACAGCTAATCAACATTATTAAACACATAAATGGCTATAACTCGGTCATTTCTACAGATATAGAGCTAAAATAGAATGTGGCAGTAGTTGAGCCATTGCAAAAAAAAAAAATAAAAAATAAAAAAAATAAGCCTTAGTTAAAACATCTGCCACTCTGTCATGCATTCAATATAACTATACAAGTCTCAAGAAAAAAATAATAAACTCCACTTGAATCGGATCATATTCAGATAGTGAAATAAACCATGTGGAACACATTCCTCCAGTTTAATCAGATCTTACACCATCATGCCCATCTGAAGTTTCCACAGCACCTCATGACACTCATTACTCAAAGTATGAGCTGGTTGTGTCATTTCATTTTAATGTATTTGTGTTCACTCTAGTTATTTATTTGGTAAATATTGTTTATGTTCAGCAGGTTTTCTGTTAGTTTCCTTCACGCCTGCACCCCATCTCCTTGTTAACTCGTATTTCTGTTGGTTCAACTCTTATCTGTTTGTAAAACAAAAACAATACTTCTCAACACTGCAAAAATCTGCTCCAAAATTATTGTTCGTCCTGTTAAAAGTTCTCCCTCGTGTAGAATTATTCCAGACTTTACACATTATTTTGTCAGGTTTAGTGAATCCCATCATTGTTCCCTTTGGATCTACAGACCTGTCCAGCTCCATAACTCCCTACCCCCGCCCATGTCGGTCTATTGACATTCAGCAAATTAACAACTGCTCATGGCATTTTCCTAATGTATTATATTTCACAGTGGTATTTGTTTACTTTACTTTACTTTATTAGCATTTACTTAAGTATCTCGGGGTCTTGTTCACGAATGAGAGAAAAATTAAGCGAGAGATGGATAGGCGAATAGGTGCGGTGTCAGCAGTGAAGCAGGCGCTGTACCGGTCTGTCGTGGTGAAGAGAGAGCTGAGTCAAAAGGCGAAGCTCTCAATTTACCAGTTGATCTACGTTCCTACCCTCATCATGAGCTTTGGGTTGTGACTGAAAGAAGGAGATCTCGGATACAAGCGGCCGAAATGAGTTTTCTCCGCAGGGTGTCTGGGGTCTCCCTTAGAGATAGGGTGAGAAGCTTGATCATCCAGGAGAGACTCAGAGTAGAGCCACTGCTTCTCCACATCGAGAGGAGCCAGTCAAGGTGGCTCAGGCATCTTGTTAGGATGCCTCCTGGACACCTCCCTGGTGAGGTGTTCCGGTCACGCCCCACTGGGAGGAGACCCAGGACACGCTGGAGGGACTATGTTTCTCGGCTGGCCTGGGAACGCCTTGGAATTCCCCTGGAGGAGCTGGACCAAGTGGCTGGGCCACCCTCTCCCACCAAGGAAGTCTAGGGACCAATCAGAGGAGTCTGGCTGAATAAGCATTCTGTCATATTTCAGGACTCTGGATTCTATCTGACGTTGTCCTCAGAACTCCCAGAAAGTGTACGGATCTCCCCAGAGGGAACAATGTGAACTGAGCAATTTACTACTCTTATTGGATCTCTTGCAGTGTCTCTGTGTGTTGTCTCTGGACATGCTCACCACCCTTGTGTCCCCCACCCCCCTGCAGAATATCGGCATCATTATGTTATTGTGTGCAAGTTTTTTGTTTTTTTTTTCATTTTCATGCCTTTAATCTTCAACCAAAGATTAAGAACATGTTGGGAATTTTGTTTGCCTCCAAAACCTATGTTGTCCCTTTCACCACTTCATTGTCTGTCCAAACAGGCCTCACTTGTAAATGAGTCTTCAAGGCTCATTGTGATTTATCGGTTTAAATAAAGGTTGAATGAATGAACGAATGGGGAGAGGGAAGTCTGGGGCTCCCTACTTAGGCTGCTACCCCCACGACCCGACCCCAGATCAGAGGAAGAAAATGGATGGATGGAGAGGTATTTATGTTTTTCATTGGAAATTTTTAACATGAAATTCTAAACATTTAGGAATGCAGTAACTGCATTTAAGTGTCTGTGTGTGTGTGTTCAGATGTTTGTTGTACATATTGTTGCTCAAGTGCAGCCGGTTACATTGAATGAACAGCACTTGAAACAATCCGATAAAACTTCCCTGTTTCTGCCACATCACTTGAATGCAACAATAAATTCTGCATAGAAGCCCATTGACCCTCCTAAACTCTAAAAGCACAGTAGGATATGTTGGAGTTCAGTGTGAAATCTTACAAGTACACCACAAGGATGAATAATCTAAACCCTGGATTATTTCAAAGCCTAGTTCATAAAATCATAAGACCTTAATTATGGTTGAACAAAAATCTTAAATGAACAAAAAGCCTAGCGTTGTTTGAAAGAACATATTGCCTGCCAGTTGTCATGCAAACAATTTAAACTAAGATCATCTTGTGATGACAAATGACAGAATTATTGCACATTTTGGTCAAACCTCAATGAGAGAGCAAGATGTGCTAACTGCCTTCTTCCACCTGCGTAATATCGCTAAAATTAGAAACAACTTATCTAAAAATGATACAGAAAAACTGGTTTGTGCATTTGTCACATCTAGACTGGACTATTGCAATTGTTTGTTGTCTGGGTGTCCCAAAACTTCTTTAAAAAGTCTTAAATTAATTCAAAATGCTGCAGCCAGAGTCTTAACTGGAGTTAGTGGGAGAGATTATATCTCTCCAGTTTTAGCTTCTCTCCATTGGCTCCCTGTCAAATCCAGAATTAAATTCAAAATCTTACTTCTAACCTATAAAGCTCTCAACAACCTAGCTCCGTCTATTCGAGATCTTATTGTTCCATATTTTCCTAACAGAGCACTTCTCAGATTGCAGGTTTACTTGTGGTTCTCAGAGTTTCCAAAAGCAGACTTGGAGGAAGATCTTTCAGTTATCAGTCTCTTGTGAACCAACTTCCAGATACTGTCAATGAGGCTGACACATTGTCCAGTTTTAAGACTGGGCTTAAAACTTTTCTTTTTGATAAATCCTATAGTTAGTGTTGGCTTGTTATGCTGCCATAGGTAGACTCCTGGAGGACAAAATGACCTAATTTCCATAAATGATTTGCTAAAATTGAAAAGTTTTCATCTGATACTATTTCTATCTTAATGTGTGATTCTTGACCTGCCATTGTGTATCTGTTCCTCCTTCCTGTTCCTCTCAAACCCAGCCGGTTGAAGCAGATGGCCGCTTGTCCTGAGCCTGGTTCTGCTAAGGTTTCTTCCTCATGAGGGAGTTTTTCCTTTCCACTGTCACCTTCATGCTTGCTCAGGATGAGAGTTCTGTGATGGAGTTAAATTCAAAGCAGTCTGCTCCTCAGGTAAATAATGTTAAATTATTATTTATTTTTATATGTTTCTGTTCAGTGCCCTGCGACGACTTTTGCTGTGACTCGGCGCTATATAAATAAACTGAACTGAAAACTGAATTGAACAGTTAATGCTAAAGTTATAAGTAAAAATCTAGTACTAGTATGTGATAGTCACTTGGCTCTGGCAGCCATCTTGAATGAAGTTGACTCCAAATATTATTCAGTTGAAAATGTACAGCCAACGCTTACATTCTGAGAGTCACATTAATGTTTGTCTACTGGCTCATGACATATTTTTGCTAACAGACAGGCAAACACACACATGCACAAACACCTGCAAAAGTATTATTGTCACTTTGTCGTTGGGGGTGTGGGCAACAGCCCAGTCAGACTAACATGCCATCTCTGTGATCTGATCCAAACCAGTTTTTAAAGGCAGGAGCAAACATCTGGTAATCCATTCTGCAGCCCTGCCCTACATAGCCACACCACCGTGACTGCATCAGCAGTGAAAGTGAGAAAAATGACATCATTCGTCTGTCGTGACCCTTGATGCTGCTGATACAGTGAAGAGCTAAATGTTGTTGGCAGCACTTGTGGGTTTGTTTGTTTTTTCTGAATCCTGTTTATTTCTTCATTCTGCAGATAAAATTGATCTGAATAAAAATGTATCACTTCTTTCTTGTACATGTTGTCCACTCATTGTAAGTGGTGTGGGAAAAAAAAAGTTTAGCTGACAAAGTCTTGTGATATTTAAAGGAAAACGCAGCTCAAACACAAACTGAAATAATTCATATGATTTTATCTTGTTGCTTAGAAATCTATAGAAACAGAAAATATCACTGAACGCTTTGTGATAGCATTTTTCTTTCCGAGTCTGCAATTAGAGCTGCATCTGCACATTTCCATTTATCTCAGCTTGATTTCCTGGCACGCCTGGGCAACAGTCCAGTTAACCACATGCACCATTTATGAGCTCCATAAACTTAACATATTCAGACAGAGGAAAATAATAAGAGCTTATTTACTTCTGTTTCTGTGGTCTATCAGTGTCTGAAAAGTAAGGACAGAAATCACACCCCAACAATTTTCAGTCAGGTCATCTGGACAGTTTCTTTTTTTTTTGTGCTGAAACATTTCACCTTCCATCCAGAAGGCTTCATCAGTCAAGGAAACGCAACACAAAACTGATTCTTCCCCCAAACAGTTTAATCCAAAATGGAACAAACCAGTTATGTTGGCACGTCCCCTCCTCCAGTGCCGGCCCTCTCCCTCATCGACAGTCATGTCAAACTGGTTCAAAACCAACAACGTCCATGCTCAATAATCCAGGTATACAATCCAACAATTTTCAGTCAGGTCATCTGGACAGTTTCTTCTGGCTGGAAGGTGAAACATTTCAGCACAAAAAACGAAACTGTCCAGATGACCTGACTGAAAATCGTTGGATTGTAAACCTGGATTATTGAGCATGGACTTTGTTGACAGAAATCATAATTATGGGTGGAAGCTAATCTAATTAAATTAAATCTATTAAATGATGCATTGTGATACGGGCATAAACAATTCTGAATTGATTCAGAAATGTTTTAGATGAGTATTTAATGTTAATCATGTCCTGTTGAAGGCACACAAACCCTTGAACTCTGAAGTGTAGTAGCGGAGCCCTCAGATAGTTAATTATGTGTACACAAGAAGTGACAACATACAAGTGGCAACTGAGACTTCACTTATTTTCTTGCAGTTTGAAGCTGACAGCCATTCGCCAACAGATAGCCAGTGAGTGGCTACCTTATTTTGCACACTTTGGAGAGCATAATAATGACAAGGGCTATTCCCACACTGACCAAAAACATATAAAGCCTGAAAAATGCAGGTAAAATTAGACGTAGACACCCATTGTCACATAATCTTACATCTCTTTAGTCAATATTTTGGCTCCTTTTGCTCATTTAATTCCCTAAACCCTGTTTGAATGAAAACTGTTGTATGTGTCAACCAAAATAAGTTGTTTCTTTTCAGTCTGTGAGATTCTAAGCTCAGGATTTTGTTTGAAGTAGGAATATGGGCTCATCAAGATTTACCCAAAAATGTTTCATTATTGCAACTCACCCCTCTAAGTTATAATCAGATTGAATTGTGAAGAGCCTAAAGAGTCCCATCCCTAATCACAACCCATAAATCTGTTATAAACCTAAGGAAATTTGTTGTAAAAGAAGCACCACATCGTATGTTTTCTTTGACTCAATCAGCCTACTGCCTGGGTGCAGCAGCCGTGATGTTGAGCAGGAGTAATGACTGTAATACCTCAGAGTGAACGCTCTTCATACCCTGCTCTCACACTCTTTACTCCACTGCAGGCAGAGAACTTCAGCCTCACACAGCAGGAGTCAGTTCTGTAACAGTTTACCTGGTTTAGTGTGAGTTCACAGAGCTTGTGTGTATTCTGACATGAAATGTGAACTTTTACCTGGACGAGAACACAAAACTAGAAAGTTCCTGGAAAAACTTTGACAGGGACTGCCACGTTGCAGCCATTTTAAAATTGATTTGAGAGTATTGTGTGTTGGGGTTTGCTCTCAGCTGCCACCATAACAAACTTAATCTAACCTGGCAAAAGAAATATCAATGAGTTATAGTCATTTTTATTTTAAGCTATTTTTTAAGCCATCTTGGATTTTTGATTTTGATTCAGTATGTGACGAGGAACGTTCTCAGCTATAACCACTCCAGATTTCATCTCCATAGCTAAGTTAAATCCATTTAAATGTAGCTTTGGTGGCCATCTTTCTTGGATTTTTTTATTTGAATTCAGTATTTATTGGACAAGCTCATCCATCCATCCATCCATTTTCTTTGCCCGCTTATTCCATTTTGGGTCACGGGGGTCGCTGGTGCCCATGTCCAGCAATCACTGTGCGAGGGGCGGGGTACACCCTGGACGGGTCGCAAGTCCATCACAGGGACACATAGACACAAACGAGACAAACAAACATTCACTCTCTCACTCACACCTAGGGACAATTTAGAGTTACCAATCAGCCTAACATGCATGTTTTTGGACTGTGGGAGGAAACCGGAGTACCCGGAGAAAACCCACGCATGCACGGAGAGAACATGCAAACTCCACCCAGAAAGGCCCCTGGACCGGGGTTTGAACCAGGGACCTGCTCGCTGAGAGGCAGCAGCTCTACCAGTAGCGCCACCGTGCTGCCTCTGGACAAGCTCAATATCTTTTAAAATAGCCGAGTTATCATATTTTTACCTTTAAGCGAATGTGGCCATCTTGGATTTTTAATTTGCATTAAACATGTATAACTCACTCTCAACTACCACCATACCAAATTTCAGCTCAATATCTCAAAGAATGACAGAGTTAGAGCCAATTTTGAGTATTCTGCTATAGCTGTGGCAGCCATTTTGAATCAAAATGGCTCCAAAAGTGAATCAGTGTTTTGTTCAAAGACCTCGTCCCTCATGTGACCTCACTGTAGCAGTTAGAAGCTGTTGAGTTTTGTCAGTGCTTTTCAATGAGAAAAATGGCGTCTTTGTTTCCAAATTACATCTCCATGGTAACTCGAAATACCAATAAAAGTAATATCGCACATTACAGCGCCGAGCCGGTCGTTTTGATAAAACATTTGTGGGGGGGGTGCACATTACGGTTTGGGCCGCATTAAAATTGACGGAAGAGTTAAGGCTCCAGTATACTGCCGCGTATGTCCGTAAACGCGTACGCAGAGGGTTCAGACATGATACTCTTGCAGAGCAGCTTCACAGACAAGGGGCGTTTACCTTCGGGACAAATTGAGGTCGCCGATTGGTCATTTGCTGACACGCCTACTGGATTGATTGACAGGTCAGAAAAAAGAAAAAAAGCGAGCGCTGGCAGCCTCAGCCACAGCGGTGTTCTGTGTTTGTATGTTGTTAATAAAAAGATCTAAAAAATAAAAAAAAAACAGAGAGTGCTGGCTCTACAGCCCACACATCAAACCAGCCCACCAGGAAATCTCCAGACTCTCCCGCAGCCATGCTGGACCTGAGTTTAATTCACTCGTGACAAATTCCTCCATTTCTCACCATTTCAGTCATGGCATCAACGAAGGAGGAAGAGATCACTGCCTCTTGGCAAAAAAACAAAAGAAAAGGCCAGATCAGGGATGAAGAAGGGGAATTTAATACATTGGTGTCGCATACAAAACAGTCCGTCGCTTGGCAGTTTATTGTGCGACACCGCGTACGCGTATGCGGTCATAAAAATTGGAGCTTTGCATGGAGAGTACGCTGGGGGGTACGCACGTACCTCTCCGTACGTACGTGCGTACCTCTGCGTATGGATGTACGCAGCAGTATACTGGGGGCTTAAGATCCTTTTCAGGTGGATAAACTTCTGAATGTCTTCTGCCTAAAGCTCTGTTCCATAAACTAAATCCACTTGACATTTGAGATCAGGAAATGTGTTTCCATCTCAGTGTTGTTTAAAACTGATCCATCGTGGCACTGATAACATTAATGGTTTCACTAAATCTGCTAAAGTATGAAAAGCATGCTGTGACGACATGTCTACTCACTAACCTGCTGGCCTCTGACATGTGGCTGAAGGATTTTTAGTAGGTCGTTACATCTACAGGGTGGAGATAAACATATTGCCCTCATCTCATCTACTACCATCTACCCCAGGCAGACAGGAGCAGAGCCAAGCAAAGCAGGGCGGCATGCAAGCCTGCAGTTGACCTACTTACCGACTCACCCTTTGCTCATTTCCACTGTTGTAATAAAATTAGGAGTAATTACCAAGTTCTTAGCCTTTCACTATACAATAAGTCACAAGGCAGTGAAAATCACAGGCACAAAAGAAGATCGGAAAAAAGAGAGGTGACTACACATTTATAGATGCAGGGGAAATCACATGTGCCTCTTAGATGATGCGCTTGAAGATATCACATTAGAATATGTTTTATTTTCAAACTCACATATGTGATTTTTTTAATATACCGCAAAAATGTCCAGTAGTTGTACTGCAGCTTGCAGCGTAGCGACCATTTATCGGTAAATTCTAGCATAGAGCACACACTTCTGCATAACTCATCCTGCTGAAGGAGATTAGGAAACTGAGATTAAAAAGGTAATCTCCAAAATCCATGGCTTGAATCAGTTTTGTGACATCGGAGGTCCTGGTCAATAGCAATTACAATTTTAAAACATAAATGTGCTTCCAATATACAAGGTATTTTGTACTCCACTTATAAAGAATCCTGGTAAAAAAATTAAAATAAAATGTAAATATATTTGATCTAACAAAATTATATAGTCCTAGTTTTGAGTAAAATTAGCATAGTTAGCAAACTCAGCTTTGTTTGAAGGACATCATATTTCATTCCAGATTTTTAAACTAAGATCATCCAGTGATGAACAAGAGTACTAAATAAGGCACATTATAGACCCGTCGACAAACTATACAGCAATCAATAGCAATAGCCCAAATAACTCCAAGCAATTTGAAATTTGCATCTGAATTAATGTGGATGCTTTGCAGAGCTGAGCCTAAAACAAAGTAGTCAATATATTCAAAACCAGAACAAGGGCTTGAACACTGCCAGTCTTCAGTTTTAGCTCATTGTTGTCACCAGGTGACATTATCAGGTCTGATGGTCTGATGAAGAGCTGTGCTCAAAACGTCACCTGCTGTAACTAAATCAGCCAGAAGTGAAGTCCTGCAGAGTGAAAGTCCTTTTTCTGTTTTTGCCAAATTATTTTTTGCATCTGGGCTGGACGACGGCCATAATTTTGATCATGGATGTACATGTTTGTAGAGTTGTTGCCTCTCTGCGAGAAAGCTGCCGGATCAAATCCCAGCTCGGGGATCGTTCTGGGTGGAGTTTACATGTTCTCTTCGTGCATGTGTGGGTTTTCTCCGGGTACTCCGGTTTCCTCCCACAGACCAAAAACATGCATGTTAGACTGATTGGTAACTCTAATTTGTCTCTAGGTGTGAGTGAGAGAGTGACTGGTTGGTTGTCTCATTTGTCTCTATGTGTCCCTGTGATGGACTGGAGACCTGTCCACCCTGCCTCTCGCATAGTGACTGCTGGACATGATCACCAGTGACCCTCATGACCAATTCCCGAAATCAATGGATGAATGGATGGACGTACGTACGGACAGATGGATGGATGGTTCACCTGTGACAGCTCATGCTCACCTGTCCGGTGTAGGCAAAATCCAAAGCATGTTTTAGTCCAACGCTGGTCACTCCTTGTAGCGTCACCTCGTCTGCCTCACTCTCCACCATACACAAACTGAACATGGCCTGATGACACAGTCAAAACACTGAGATCAGCTGAAGTAGCACTGCATCAGAAATATAGAACCAATTCTTTTTTAAGGCAGGCTAAACAATTTTTTTCATTCAATTCATTCAACCTTTATTTAAACAGATAAATCACATTGAGCCTCAAAGACTCATTTACAAGTGAGACCTGTTTGGACAGACAAAAAAGTGGTAAACTGGACACATGTAGGAATTGGAGGCGAAAAAATTCCTATCAGACTTTTTTTTTCCTGCCTGAGAAAAAAAAAAACAACTCTAATATTAAAAAACACCTCGCCCAAACAAGAACATAGTGACGTAGACATTCTGCAGACGGACGAGACAAGAGAGGTCAGCAATGTTCATAGATGCTCTCTCTCGTAAGAGTTCTGATAAGGATGGAAAATCAGTCAATGTCCTCCGGTGAGATCCATAAACATTCTCGATGTATGTCGAGGAATGGCCAAGAATAACGTCTATGAGAATCCAAGAGTCCTGAAATGATGACACAAAGTTTATTCAGCTGGCTCATCTAGTTATCAGTTGGAAATTCCTCAGGGATGGGGTGGTGAGCATCAGATCACATGTTCTCCAGGTGAATTCAGATAAGATGGCCTTCAAGGACAGCCAAGGGAGCCAAATTCAGATAAACACACAGTTGTTTTGGGGACAGGCAGAACTTAATGACATCTACCTTGAGTCTGTGTTGGTCGACTCGGTTCCGAAATGTCCAAATTACGTGGCCACACCGATGGAACGTGACTGAGTAAAAATCCCCAAGATCTGATCCATTCAGCCCAAAGCATTTGAGTCCGGGTACTCCAGACATGAACCAAGCCATCATAAAGGCAAGCAGCGTGATCGGGTCCAAATTTGCTGCTGACGACTTCCTTGATTGTTGATAAAACAATCAGCAACCAGCCGAATCCAAAAAGCAGGAACCATTTATCGTAAATCCAATTAAATATGCGTCCTTAAAATCCACAGATGGCAGCAGAGATAGACACATCATCAAGTCTTCCAGTCCATTTTACTTCTAATTTGACAAAAACAACACAAGCTTAGTTACAATGAACGTCAGTGGAAGACTAGGTGTGCACTCTTTGTATTCTGAGAGAATCTGAAAGTAAACTAGAAAGTTCCTGAAGAAAATAAGACATGGACTACCTCGTGATGGCCATTTTAGGGTTCCGTCAGGTGTTTTGTATGAGGAAAAATGGCGTTTTTCTTTGTGAGTTACGTCACCATGGTAACTTAAAACGTCAATAAAAATAAAAGCACACATCATGGGGCCGAGCCGGTCGTTTTGGTATAAGATCTGTGGAGGTACACATTGCAGTTTGGGCCACATTAAATTTGACAGAAGAGTAAGATACAATGTTAAGAAACCTTGTCAGGTGGATAATAATAGGTTGCTGCCTTTCCCAACTATTAATAGGTGCCTGCCATGTAAATGCATGGCAGGCACCTATTATTCTACACCTCGGAAGTGTGTCAACATTTCTATCTCCGTTAATGCGGCCCGAACCACAATGTCTACCCCCACCAAAGTTATATCAAAATGACTGGTTTGGCCCCGTGATGTGTGCTATTACTTTTATTGGCATTTTGAGTTACCATGGCAAAGTAATTTACAAACAGACACAATATTTCACCAACTCCAGGAACTAGTTGGTGACTGCCCATTTATTATTCTACACCTGATAAGCGTATATTTTTCAACGTTCAACATGGCAGGCACCTATTATTCTACACCTCGGAAGTGTGTCAACATTTCTATCTCCGTTAATGCGGCTCGAACCGCAACGTGGACCCCCACAAAAGTTACATCAAAACGACCGGTCCGGCTCCGGGAAGTGTGCAATTACTTTTATTGGCATTCGCAGTTACCATGGCGACATATTTTGCTAGCAAAAATTAATAAAAAAAAAAATATATATATATATTTATTAATAATAATTTAATAATAAATAGGCAGTCCCTGTCAAAGTTTCTTCAGGAACTTTCTAGTCTTATAGTAATGACACTGAGTAAAATAAGGCAAAAAGTAAATGTTTTATGTGTAAATTGATTAAAAATGTAAAAATTGTAGACTAAAGAAGTTTGCTTGCATAAATCTTTATGAAGTTTGAAGCGTAAAAGTGGAACATGCTTTAATAAACTCCAAAACTTGTAAAAATTTACAAACATAAAATTGTGTAAAGAGCACTAATGAATTCAAAACACCAATTCAGTTAACTTTTTGTGACCTGTTTAATGATGGAAGGATGTTTTCAGTATAAAGTATTCCTGAAGTATTGAGCTCCAAAGAGGGCTGGATTTTCTAACTTGTTTTACCAAAATCCTGTTATTGTCAGTGGGGAAATATTATTGTTTTTTTTATTATGTCCATGTTATACAATTCAGTTCAATTCAATTCAATAATACTTTATTAATCCCAAAGGGAAATTAAATGTTGCTGTAACATTATCCTAATTTCATTAAGAGATTTTATAGATACTGATGGCTGTAGGCAGGAAGGATCTCTTGTAAAGGTCTGTCCCACAGTGGATCCGAGGAAGCTACAATGTAGTGCTAACAAAAATTATTACACAATTTCTGATGTTTTCAGCACGTTTCATGTATTTTCATACTGGTTTTCATAAAGCTGCAGGAGGAGATGTACCAAATTAAAACTAGTGATTCAAACAAAAGAATTGTGGGTGAATAATAAAAGGTGAAGCCTAAATGCTTGTGCACTGGCATCCTTAATGAAGTATCTACCGGTAAGTGGGCTGTGACTATTTGGCAAAGAGCATCCGTGAGGGAGTCTCCAGAACGTCATTTGTAGGGATTCTCAATGTCCTCGCTTGAATTGCAAAAACTTGCAGCGTTCCGAATTGAATTTTGAACATACTTTATAAATCTTTGCAACAAATGTTCTTGCAAAATAGTGACAGATTTGTCACAGGGCATCTCAAACCCTTGTCGATTTTGTTACCAACCCATCTCAAGAGCAAACTAAGCTGTTGATGAAAACAGATTTTGAAAATCTCATCCAGCAAACTACGTCATAAATGCAGAGGCGGCTGCCAAAATGAGTAAAGGTGGACAATAAAATAAAATGCATGGCCTAAAATACAGCTTTGTAAGCTGTGCACGCAAAAATAAGCCCTGTTTTTCCTAAACTGGCAGAGCAAAACACGGCTGCACTGCTTCTCGGTCACAAACACCCATAAATCAGTGAGACGACGCCTGAAAATAGGCCCATTTATAGAAACATTGAGTAAAATTTGAGATGTCAATTAGACTCCAACTGTCTAAGCCCAGTGTGATACTATAAAGAAAAACCCTGTATCACGAGATGTCTCAACCACAGGCCTCGATGCTACAACTGACCAGCTTTGTTCTTCCATTCTTTAATGTTGATGCTGTGGGCTCACCATGTCATATATGAAAGTTTCCAGCACTGACACATTGAGCAATTCGTTTTAAATGTGAGTATGAGTGGAAGAAAGCCCAGAATAAACCTAGCAGACATGACAATGTAGATGTTCTCTGTATCGATTCATTAACCTAAACCCTGGAGGTCAGCAGAGACAAACAGTACAATCATTACTTTGTGTTACACCTCTCTGTCCCATCCTGACACACACACATATGCCGTCACATGAATGCATGCTGGGCTTCATGGAAAATCAAAGCAGCGGATGAAGGGTCTGCAGTCGGGCTCGGCTGTGTGCGAGTTCAGCTGGCAGCTCGCTAATCAAAGCTATTGACTGGTGTCACACCATGAGGTGATGGCAGGACTATAGATCAGTGCCAGACAAAAGAGATCAGCCACAGACAGGAAGAAAATGAAATGATCTTTATACATTTACCTTTTCTTTAAGATTACCGTCAGAAACAGCATAATTCATTGTCTTTAGGATTTTTTGCCAGTGTAGACAACTTTGCTGCCTCGGGATAGCAATTTTGCAAAGTTACAGCTCTTAAGTATCTATTGGGATTTTCTTTCAATCACAGAAAATCACATGGCATTAAAGCTTCAAAGGTCCATGAGCTGTTCAGGTTGCACATTTCCTTTTGTCATGAAATCATTTCAACCCATCCAAACGATTCACAGCACACGTTAACTTGAAGTGTAAGTCTGATGTGGGAGACTGGGTCACCTCAACGCCATGCTGAGTTTTAATCAAAACTGTGCAGAACTCAGCCTTGTTGCTTCACTGCTGTGCTAATTAAGAATCCACTGGTTCACTGAGAACAGGAGGGCCCGTTGCTTCACCTGGGGTGTGACGTGTGAGCAGTGGTCAGAGTGTGTACGGGTGTGAAACAGAGACCTGACCAAAGCAGACTCTACCTCAGTGTCTGCAGTGCTGATCGCCCCTGACCTTGGCAGAGAGGTGACAGTAGTGGCGATGGATGGCTCCTGTGGTTTGGGCCATAAACTCCCCACAGAGCAGTGTCAGTGCCAATTCTGCCGTGGGAAGGTAGTTCTCTAGTTAGTCTAACCTGCAGGCAAGATTTATGTGTGTGCTTATTGTGATAACGCCAGAGAAGAACTCCTGACTTCCTCACACGTCCACTGAAACATTATTAGGTTTTAGTGGGGGTGTCTCCACGTCTGTGTGAGGTATTGGGTCATTCCTTTTGGGCTGAGGCCATTTTTATTTGCAAGTTTGTCTTAGAAATTGTTTCATTCAAACCTTGCTCCTAAACCAGTGGTAAAACATACAGGACTATATTGTGATGTTTTAATTATTTTATTTATATTTTTACTGACAAGCACTAATAAAACACAGTACAGTAGGAACAACTTATCTATTTAAAAATTTTTTAAGTGATGTGTGTTGTCATCATTGTATGTTTCTATACAATGAAAACGGTGAGAATTGTTTACTATTTCTTTTGGAGCTTGTAAATATTTTATTTCTTTTTCACTTTTTGGTACTTTATTTTGTACCTTTATTGCATGATTTAGTATTTCTTGTTATTTTCTTTAGATTTTTGAGCAAGTC